TAAAAGCAAGCACAGAGAGCCAGTAGGTAGTATTAAACTCTCCCCGGGCACCCTGGCCATAAAAGCTAGCGAAAAGGCCGAAGGCCCACTAAGCTAATATAAATCCGTTTACTTAGAAGACGACGGCCGCCAACCGGACACCCTGCCCCCACGCATTATACAGGAAATGCCTGAACCGTATATCACCAGTGTTGAGGTAAGTGTAGAACTCCTAAACTTCAACAAACACAAAGCGGCTGGTTCCGACGGGCTACACCCAGTAATCATCCACCCCCTGGCGGACATTCTGCCACCACCGGTAGCGGCACTGTTTAACCTCAGCCTAAATCAGGCCATACGAATGGAATACGGCCGAGATTACAACAGATTTTAAAGCGGGACAACGGAAGATACCCAAAAATTGCCGACCGGTAAGTCTGCTGTGCAGTTTACTGAAGGTGATGGAGAAGAGTATAAGAAATGCCATTGTGAGCCACCTAACCCAGCATCGCCTAGTGGCGCCAAAACGGCACGGGTTCATCAAAGGCAAGTCTTACCTGACGGATTTGCCGTCCTTCCTAGACGAAGCTACTGTCAGGCTAGACCGAGGGGACCCTGTTGAAGTCTGCTATCTGGACTTCAAGAAGGCCTTTGACTCGGTCAACCATCGGCTGCTTTAATCAAGTTAAGGAACCTGCGAGTTACTCCCGGGGTGATAGACTGGATAGAAGACTACATATGTGAGCAAAACTTCTACGTGAAAGTAGAAGAGTTCAGATCAACCTCCGCCTTGGCCTGCAGTGGGGTACCACAGGGATCAGTACTTGAACATTTGCTGTTCGTAATCTTTGTTTACGATCTAGCTCAAAGGCTACGGTCGCCGTGCTTCCTATTTGCTTAAGATGCTAAAATTGTAGGTATGCCAACCGAGGATGTCATACAGCAAAACTTAGACACCCTCTTTCACTGGTCCGTGGTCTGGGTCCTACCACTAAAAGCCGGCAAGTGCAGGCACTTAACGTCTGACGGTTTCCCTGCAATACACTAAATTAACCCTGAAAACAGCCCGGTAGTTCAGCACACAGAGACGATGAAGGACCTAAGGGTGCTTATGCACCAGTCCTTTAAGCCGTCACCGCAGTGTACTGAGGCTGCTGGGAAGACTCACAGGGCATTGTTCCAGTTGCGACGCATTGTTGCATCCAGGAACCCAGTAGTGCTGCTTCCACTGTAGAGTATGGAGTCCAGGCATGGGCACCAACTAAATTTGGAGACATAAACACGTTCGGAAGGATACAAAGGAGATTCACGAAATTTCTCCCGGGTCTTCAAGGGTTGACGTAAACACAGAGGCTGGAGAGGCTAGGACTTTTATCCCTCAAAAGGAGAAGGTTGAGGGGGATTTCATAGAGACCTTCAAGCTCCTGAAAGGAATCACCAGAAAGGAAGCCCCCTACTCAGCATAGATAACGACCCTTCCCTCTGGAGCAACGGATTGAAATTGAGCAAACCCAGAGCTCTGAAGAGCATAAGGGCAAACGTCTTCTCCCATAGGTTAACGCATGAAACAGACTGCCAGCGGAGGTAGTCACAGCCCAGACTATAGTGCAGTTCAAGGCCAGACTGGACAAAAGCTGGGCCGCCACGTTCCCCGACCCTACCTGATTCTGGGACCTTGCTTGCTTGTTTCATCCCTCCCTTACGCACCCCCTTCTTTTTCTAGAGGCTTCCTCACTTCCCTCATTATTATTATTGTTATTCGTATTATTATCATACCACAACTTCACCCTTAGCCTTCCGCTCCCATTCTTTCTTTTCACTCTATTGTTTGTCGATATGAAGACTCGCCTAGCAGTGTGTAACAGTGCTAGATGTAGACAATTTATCCGTTTCTAATCGTGAGTCGACGTCTTATTCCAGAAGTGATCCCGATATTGTACTTTGCACCCCGTGGACCAACAAAGCACCCTTGGAGAACGAAACACTGGAATACCGGAAGGTTGAAGCACGGGGGGAAATTCACGCCCATTCGGGCAAGAAACTGGACTCTCGTTGGCTCAAGCCGCAAGTCATGGAACCTGATCTGAACATGACCGTCATAGAATCTATCGCATCGTACTGGATTTCTCTCCACCCCACTACCACCGAACACATGCTATGGGCCCGCCGTGGTTTGATCGAGAACTGTGGGAGTGCGTCCGGCAGCGAAATAAAGCCTGGTCCAAAGTACCGTGCAACAGGCGCAGGATATGAGGAATATCGATGTATTCGAACCCATTGTACTGC